TGGTTGGCTGATGGTGTCTACACTACGACATTTGTTGATGGTTCTTCGACTAAGACAGTGGTGTCCTCTTACGCAACTGCTGATGCTACTGGTAACGATGTGACATCCGCTTCACTTTCAACGTTGGATGTGTCTTTGAATACTGTCGCCTCTATAACAACTCTATCTTACGAGGGAGCTGGAGCGATAGTTAACAGCAATGGTCTGGTCTCTTTACTCATCTGTGTCCTTTGTGCTTTCTTCTAAGCACTTTCGTTTCTTTTTCAATTCTTAGATACTCTATTAATGATCAAGAGATTTGCAATAGTTTCAAGCTGTTGCAGTCTTTTTGATGCATTATTATTGTTTGCCGTTCTGCTGATTTTTGTTCTATTCAGCAGATTTATATATTCACTGATTGCTCAGTTATTTCAATATATGTTTAGCTTTATTTCGTTTATTCCTCTTTATCTTAAGGAAATAATCACCGAGTTAATTGTGAGTGGAAAGATAGACTATGTACGAGATGACATTCATCAACTACCAATGGTCAAATATATTTAAGGTTTAACCATCTTCTCATACTTTGAGATGTACTCGTTGTCCATGTCGCCTAATATCCAGTTGTTTACAGAATTTTGACCGGTGAGTGAGTCAGAACTTCCTTCGTGGCATAAAGCAGAAAGTTTTATCGATGTATCACAGCCCTTTGGAATAAAAAATCGTTGGTAGTCAACTGTGAAAGGCTTGAGCAGCGACCTGAAGGGCACTTTGTATTTCATATTCAATATCGATGCGATAATTTCCAGGAGGTCATTTGATTCATCGACAGTGTATAGTAAGGAACAGCCGTGTTCCAATGCCACGGTTCTCAACGATTGTTGAATGAACTCATGTACCATTTGATCCAAGTCGATGTTGGAGCCTCTGTTGATGACTAAAATCAGCACATTAGCCTGGTCACGGTAGATACCATCAAAGAAGGATAACCAGGTACACAAATTTCTTAACCAATTTGCGGGTGATTCGCTGTAGTCAAACAATGGTATAAATACAAGATCTGTACTGCTCACATTTCTCAAGATTCGTTTCAGTAAACTTTGGCACGTCACGTCTCCTTCCAGAACAGTATAAATGTTCAGAGTCGAAAGCAGTCGCTTTGATGTATCACGATACTGGATGTATGTATAACCAAGGTATATATCGTTCACGACTTTCTCAGTTGGTGAAGAGCCAAAAGTGTCATTATGAGGATATAACTTTGATATGTACTTCTTCTGAGTTTGGGCAGAACCTCCAATCAATACTACCGTTTTGACTTGTGGTATACTGTCTTGTGATTGCTTAAGTACCTGATTCCATACACCCATTATGAATTTATCGACGAATGAACTCGTATTAGACCTACGTTCAGCGTTGACACAACATTTTGTTGTTAAAGCGTGTCCGTCGGTATGGACAGCAGTTGTATTGGTGTGCGGATGTATCAACTTTCCGCCAGAAGGCTTTAGACTAGTGGTCACTACCAAGTTGGCATTGTTAATGATTTCGTGATAATTGTATCGTTACAATGATATGCTTCTAAGAATTTAAGGGGTGCTCAAGTCCAATGTGTATCTGAAATCTAAAACCCTTCATTTCAGCTAAATCAGTCTATTTATAATCTCCCAAGTTGTAAATACCAATGTCGACTTCAGCCTTTGCATCGTGATCAGAGATTGAACCATTACCAACTTTTTGATTTTGAGCTCTAATCTGTTCCAGCTCTTGCAAATATCCATCTTCAACACCAGTGACGTAGTTCCCTGTAAAGACACCAACCTCGAAGCCTGTCACATCCTTGTTGTAGGAGTTGACACAGTCGATCAAATCGGACAAATCTTGGTAGATCACTTTATCAGCGTGGAGTATTTCTGCAACCTCCTCTTCGGTTCTTTCATAGGCAACAAGGGCCTTTGTATCGGCTAAATCGATACCGTAAATGTGGTTATATCTAATAGCAGGTGCCGCAGATGCAAAGTAAACCTTCTTTGCACCTGCTTCTCTGGCCATTTGAATGATCTCTTTTGAAGTTGTACCTCTAACGATGGAATCATCAACCAACAAGACATTTCTGTCTTTAAATTCAGATTCCATAGCGTTTAACTTTCTTCGAACAGAAGAAACTCTCTTCTTTTGATCTGGCATGATAAAAGTTCTTCCAACATAAGTGTTTTTCACAAACCCCTCACGATAAGGCAATCCCAATTGCACTGCACACTGTAGAGCGGTATTTCTTGCTGTATCTGGAACAGGGATGACAACGTCAATCAGTTTTGAAATGTCTTCATCTTTGAATACTTTATCCTTAATCTTATAGGCAAGTTTGTCGCCCATAGCCAATCTTGTACGATAAACAGATATTCCATCAAGAACAGAATCAGGTCTTGCAAAATAGACGTATTCAAAGATATCTGGAGTGTATTTTTCAATTGGAACAACTTGTCTAAACTCAACGTGTCCATTCTTCTGTATTATAACAGCTTCACCTGGTAAGATATCTCTAAACTTCTTGAAATTATGAGCTTTCAAAACAACCGACTCAGATGCAACCATGTAATCTACGGTGCCATCACTGTTAGTACGTTCACCAAACAAGACAGGTCTAATACCGTTAGGATCTCTAAATGCAAACAACCCATACCCGGCAATCAAACCTGTACATGCATAAGCACCACGACAACGTTCCATCACACCTTGAAGAGCCAGAAAGATATCATCGTTGTTGACTCTGGCCTTGTTGTACTTTTCCAATTCACTAGCAAAAACGTTCAACAACAACTCCGAATCTGAATCAGTGTTGATATGTCTATGAACCACCTCGTCAAGGTAGACTCTGAGTTGCTTTGTATTAACCAAATTACCGTTATGTGCCAGGGAGATACCGTAAGGGGAATTTACGTAAAATGGTTGAGCCTCGGACCCAGCGGAGGAACCCGCGGTTGGATATCTGAGATGGGCAATACCGAAGTTACCAATCAAACCAGCCAATCTATCCTGAGTAAAGACGTCTCTAGCCATACCATTACCTTTGCATTGGTAAAAACGACCTCTTGGTCCAGAAGTTGTGATTCCGCCAGCGTCTTGACCACGATGTTGTAGGAAAAGACAGCCATCAAACAGCTCTGGTCCAGACTTTGCATTCTGATCAGCAAGACAGAGACCTAGAATACCACACATCGATAAAATAGATTATAGATCACTTTCTAAAGAAGACACAGTTAGTATTTTGAGCAGGAGTATATTCATGAACAACATCAGAGCAGAAGAGTGTATTCCAAAAATAAAATCAGTAAAAGAAGAAAACGTATCCTCAATTAATAGATTAGGAAGTCTAACGTCTAAAAAATTTTCCTTTGGTTCATCATCTAGGAACCACATCCTTCTTCTGTAGATACTGCGTGTTGGTAGAGCGTAGATTTATTTACTCACAGTTAATAAATGACGACAATAGATGAGATTCTATATCATTTCTTCTCCTTTCAAGAACCACCTGAAACCAAAGAGAAAGAGGAATGAAGGGCCAAAAAGAAAATTATATACTCCTCTTGAAAATTTTCAAAGAGGAAGCTGCTTGGGGCAAAAACTATTACTGTTTGTGGTTCGAATCAATTAATGCTCTCCCCTTTAAAAGCACTAATTTCATTTTTTTTTGACTCTGGGCCGATCTGCCCCCACCATTAGAGCCAGGAACGGGCAACATCATCCAATGGGAACAAACACCTTTCAAAAATGGGCGGGGGTTTAGTTCCATCTCCAGAGTTTGACACTTTTCTGCCTATATATCCTTACTCCAATTCCATATAAAAGGACGTATTACACTATGACAACAAGTCCGGTCTTTGCACATCTATTGCCTAGAAACGGAGCATGGAAACGTGAAGTTACAAACTGGCTTTCGGAGGATGTTCCATCGTTTGACTATGGTGGATTTGTTGTTGGTGAGACCCCAGAAACTGCAACACTCTGGTGTAAACAGGAAGGTGTCGTTGCTGGTATCCCATTTGCTCAAGAAGTCTTCAGCCAATGTGAGTTGGAAGTGGAATGGTTAGTTAAAGAAGGTGAATACTTGACTCCTAAGGGGAAAATTGCCGTGGCCAAAGTTCGTGGTAAAGCTAGAGATATCCTGTTGGCTGAAAGAACTGCGCTGAACCTATTGGCAAGAGGGTCAGGTATTGCCACCAAATCTCGCAAGACCATCGAACTTGCAAGGGAAGCAGGGTACAAAGGGATCATTGCAGGCACTAGAAAGACCACGCCGGGGCTTCGAAGATTAGAGAAATACTGTATGTTGGTTGGAGGATGTGACCAACATCGTTACGACTTGAGCTCCATGGTTATGCTAAAGGACAACCACATCTGGTCAACCGGCTCCATAACTCGCGCAGTGACAAACGCAAGATCCGCTTGTGGGTTCGCAATGAAGATTGAAGTTGAATGCCAAAGTGAAGACGAAGCTAATGAAGCTATTGCCGCCGGTGCTGATGTTATCATGCTTGACAATTTTACCAGTGAAGGGTTGAAAATTGCCGCTGTAAACATCAAATCTAAGTGGGCAAATTCAAAGAGCTTCTTACTAGAGTGTTCTGGCGGACTGACGTTAGATAATATAAAGACGTACCTCTCAAACGAAATTGACATTTACAGTACTTCCTCTATCCATCAAGGTGTTGGTTACGTTGATTTCAGTTTGAAAATTGACCAGAAGGATTAGTAGTTTATGGATATTTGTATATAATTGTTGCTTTTCTTTCGTATAATGGCAAAAGATGTATGGTTTTGAAGATGTTTTTGTGTAATTTGACGTGACAGGAGAGGAAAGGAGAGGGAACCGCGATTGTTGTTATTGTTTATAAAATAGTTTGAGCAGCGAAACTCACTATAGTCAGAAGGCCATATAACGATGCCAGAATCGTGGCAAGACCTTCAAGACAATAGCAATGATATAGACAACTCTGAAATTCAAGATGAAGACGAAGAAGTAAACGAGTATAAAGATCCGGTTGAGGAATACACCGAAGGTATGTCGTCGTTGTCAGCTTGAAAACACAGCAGTATTCTTGAACCCATGGACTAACTCAGACAAAAGGCTCGAGACAGATAGAGGCACTTGGATTGATGGACATAGGACCTATGGGATCATGGTCTGTGTCTTCTTTCAAACAAGGTTGTGGCGTGAAGGAACTTCGGGAGGATACGCCACTATCATTTTGGCAATCAGATGGACCTCAACCGCACCATTTGGATATTCATTTTAGCAAAAGGGTTATAGTGTCCAGGGTTTCAATCTTTACCGATTACTCGTTAGATGAATCGTACACACCTTCAAAGATCCTTGTGCTATCAGGAACAGGATTCCATGATTTGGTTGAGGTTATGACTTTAGAACTTGATAGACCTAGCGGTTGGAACCACGCAGTATTCACTGAGATCCAAGGAAACAAAGAAGGGTTGAAGACCTTCTTGATACGTATACTTGTTGTATCTAACCACCAACATGGGAAAGATACACATTTACGATCAGTGAAAGTATATTCACCGCAGACGACTCACACATTTGACACCAGCGTTCTTGGTCCATTCACTAGTCGTGTTTTACTATCAGAATCCACAATTAGGTGAATAAAGACAAATGTTCTCTACAAGTATTGATACTAAAAACAAAACATGTATTCTGATTGATTGTCTAGTTGTCATTTATCGGAAGAGCCATTAGTCTCTTCTGCCCACTTTTTCGAGTACTGTTTGTATTTAAATGGTTCATCACAGAACCTCATGACTTTCTCCATAAGGTTCTTTGGTGGACGGTTCCATTGTTCTAATTTGGATTCGATGGCATTTTGATCATCGCCCAGGTAGAAGTTCTTCTGGAAAAATGATACAAGGAATGGGATGCAGGTTAACCCTAAAGCCGGTGCGAAGAGATAATAACTAACATCAAAGTAAGCCATCTTAGCAGCCTCTCTTTCCGGTGAATCAAACGGTAAGGCGTAGATATCCATGACGGAGCCATATAAAGTGAGAACTTCGGTATCGTTCACAGACGATGGCATATAGTGTCTCAAAGCTGCTGGCATTTTCGTCTGCCAAATAGCTCCAGCAACCGCAGAACCAATGGCATTACCGATAGAAGACCATTGGGACAACAGAGCAATGACCAACGCCATATCCTGATGCGGAACGGAGGCTTGGGAAGCAACTTGAGACCCAACAACAGAGCATGCAGCTCCCATACCAATCAAGATCTGAGTCCAAACAAGTGCAGCAGTTGATAAATGATCATAACGGGCCCAAAGTGTAATTCCCATAGCAACAACTTGAAGTGCTAATCCAAAGCATTGTAAGTATTTTGTACGATGGGTATATCTCTGAATAACACCAACGACGACACCGAAGAAACATGATGCCATGGTGAAAGTGTTGTTAAAGTATGTCCAGTTTTTATATGACCAATTGAAACAGACTAACGCATAAGATGAAAGGTAGAGAAGACGTATCATACCGCCCAGTTGGTAAAAGAAGTCAATACATGAAGCTGTCATGAACGTTCTGTTAAGCAAAACACGTTTTGGCATTGATGGATGCGGAGCAACGTAAAACTCGTAGAAAGTGTATGCAACTAACAAGACACCGCCAACAACAAACATAGCGATCAAAGATGGATTTTTCCAACCCTTTGAAGCAGATGTATAAAGTGAGAATGGCAATAGAAGCAGAGCCCATCCAAAACCTAGAAGAAGCAAACCAAAGAAATCGCATTCAAGTGATGAATCCCATATGAGTTGCATTTTTTCTTTAAAAGATCTCTTTGGACGGTCCACAATCGCTCCAAGAGCTGCTTGAGTTGCTTTAGCTTTGTGTTCTAGCCATGACATGACTAACAATGCAGGACCAACTGTCGCTGGCATGATTATACAGAACATACCATAACCCCATCTCCAGTTTCCGTTAAGAACAGCTTCAACAATCAAGCCAGTGAACCACGCGTTGATGAGATAAGGTGTAGAAAGAAGGCCAAGAACAAGACCTCTATATTTCAATGGGGTGATATCACCGGAGATAATCGTGTTCAAAAGCCCAATACCAGAAGAACCAATAGCGATAAATACAGATCCGGCAGCGTATGTAGTGACATTGTTTGAAGCAGCAGCCATTACAGAGCCCAATGTGTAAAAGACAAGAGCTAATGCGTATGTCCATGGTCTTGATGTAACATCTGCAATCTTTGCAATCCAGATTTTCGACACTGCACTAATGATGGAATCAGCAACACTGATAGTTGATAACAAAGAGTGGTAACCGAAAGCAGATGTAGCAGCGGGGGAATAATTATATGTGGTGTAGGAGTCGAAGGTGGACACCCAGGAAATAACCACAAGAAGCACAAAGAAGTAAATTCTCAACCGTTTACCCTTCTTGGTACTATCCATGGATGCCTTAACCCAATCCATACGTTGCACACCACGAGACTTGAAGTACTCTGGTTGTGAGTCTGAGCTATTCTCATCATCTACGGATGGATGACTGGAAAACTTCTCGAGATCTTTCTCAGCAGGCGTGGTTTGAACAGGAGCCTTCTCTGAGCTTTGCGATGACATCTTCAGAAGTACCCTTTGAATCGGTAAAATCCTTCATAGAGTTAGCAATGCACACATAGCTGTAGGTGATGAGTAGTTGGCTTTATAGATTTTTTTGATATGAACAAAAAAAGTTTAATGTGGTGTGTGAAAACTTTAAATGAACCAAAAATGTTTGAAACCCGGTGGTTTGGTACTTTGGTTACCGTTGAGGAACTTGCAGCTGCAGGAAAAAGCCTAGGTCATAATCTGCGGCGTATGTAGCAATTTTCCGACGAATCAGGATCATTCATTCATGGACCACTGTGAATGGATACAATATACTTCAGGTATCCAATGGAAGTATTTTACTTAGAGAGAATTAGAAGCTTTTTAAACTGTCATGGCTTACCTCGGCGGAAATCCTACACAGTAGAAGTCTTTCATATATTAATCATCGACATGCGCGTAGTTCCCTAGAAATCAAGGCGTTTATGAACTACCGAAACAGTGAGACTAAGTGCGGAATCTCCATGGGAATACAGTTTTCATCAGATTCTAAGCGCTGCCAAATAAACCATTGGAAACCTAACATCTTTGCAGTTTATAGAACCGGTTACTGACAAACAATGAACATGATTCTGCACACCCTTTTTTCTGGACAACAATACTAAAGTGTATGGTTCAGTAAAATGCTAGGCACGCTTCTATGTATTGATCAATCCACTTCAAGCGCTGCTATTTTCTGAAAAAGATTCTTACTAGCTTTAATGAAAGTTGCACCATCACTATTGAGCGCCCAGAGTTTTAAGAAGTCACATAAACGAATCCCGAAAGTTGACTGTTAGTTCTGTATATCGTTAAGTGGTGTGGGCAAATCATGTGTCAGCCCGATGGGTTGATTTAGTCACTTCATTACAGACCCCTAAGTTATTGGTGGTGTCCCTCCTTTACTCTTATCTGATTATCAGTTCAATCAGCTATCAACTGGCTGAGAATGTTTGACTGTGACGTACATCAGACTAGTCCAAAATTTTCACTTCAATCCGATCGTTTTGTGACATGAGTTTCGTCAATGATGAATACTTGAAACGGCAGATGAGCTCGATCGACCTTGTTAGTCCACAATTGGGTGCGCATTGCGACGGTGTCTTTTCGAGGTGCGCGCGCGTTGGCGTGCTGAAAACAAAAATCCGACAACGAGAGCGAAGACCGTGACTAGATTGCTGAATTGGGGACTAATCTAACCAAAGTTGGATCCGCTTATCGGGATTATAAACATTTAAAAGGCCGATCACTGCTAAGCGCGCGCGCACTGGGAGGCGAGATTTCCAACAAATCTATACGCGACATCAACATAATGAGGTGTAAACTCTATAAATAATCCAGGCTTTGATGAAGGGTGTTATTTTGAAAGCATCACAACTGCAAGCGGATCCTCATGCTGGAGGATACTTCTTTGGCGACTCGGAGATGTGAGTTGTTACTTGAAGTGGTTTCCGAGCATTGCCGAACGCCCGTCCATATATCCCATATCACGATATTGAAAACATGAAGTTTATTTATTACCTGTGGCTTACTTAGCATAACCGTATATGAACTAGTCTTATGAAATGAAACCAAGAAACTCTGTTTCATCATATGAAGAGTCTTTTAATTGTATAATCCCATACTTTATCAAACACTTTGTCATCGTTCTCAAAAGCCTTCAAACTTTGAGTTAAGTAGAAGTTATCTCTGTCAGAGTGAAGCGTCGTTCTGGTTTCCAGTTTAATATCCCAGTTATCCGCCTTTCTGCCCATTTCATAGCGCCATTTGTTTTCAATGAAGCCACTGAGCGGATCATCAGATTTGATTGTCAAATTATTTTGATTCCAACTCCCGTGATAAGTTCCTGTCAATTCACCATAATCAACAATTTTGACACACCCAGAGTCGTGTGTATCAACTAGACTCCACTTGTCACTTGAGTAGTCATATGATACTGTTTTGGAGCGGCCGTATGGTTTTACAAGTTCATTTGGAATTCCTTTCATAATGGTTGGGTTTTCAAACACGGGAGAACTAACCTGATTATTACGATTGAGTAATGGAAGAACAAGTTCGCCTTTCTCAATCTCAATCGTTGGAATCTCAGGGGTTGGCCAGTTCTGTGGCCAATCGCATGTCGATATTGCTACCCTCAACTTATGGCCTTTTGCAATTTTGATGCCAACAACATCTAGCCGAACTTCCACGTCGTATTTTCTTCCAGGCTCAAGCCATTCTGGAAGTTCATCAGAGTTTCTATGTGTCATGTTTAACTGTCCCCATGATATCAAGACAATTTCGCCATTGTGGGGGTATATGTCTTCAACTTTGACAGTAACATTGGCAAACTTCTTATTGGAACTCAAACAGAGTCTCATAATGGGTTCTCCCAGTAAGCACAAATCGTCATCGAAGGCAGAAGAGTCCCACGTAGTTGTTTTGGAATCCTCATAGCGTTGATCAGCGGGGAAATCACCGAAAAACCCCAGGGGGCAGAAAGTACCTCTGAATAATCCATGGGATAGAACACCAGAGACATGTTTCTTGAGCGTACAAGGGTCTCTAGATAGTGTTCCTTCTTGCGTCAGAAATAAAGGTAGATTGGTACTCTTATTCGGCTCGGAATTCAAAGATACCCAATCACCTTCTCTAAATGTATAGGAGTCAACAATTGACGTTGGATGCTGGATATAAGCTGTAAGCTTTGGTAAATCCAAGGAGCTCTCCTCTTCAGGGTTTAGATACTTTCTCAACCACTTCAGTGCCAATTGTTGGAATCCGATCTTTGGCCCTGGCTCAGCAATTTCTGGGAATTCATGAACCCAAGGTCCTATGATTCCACAAGTTGATTCATTTGGTAAGTTCGCAACCATTCTAAACACTGCAGATGTATAACAATCTCGCCAACCGCCAACAGCGAGAACAGGTATTTGGACTTGTGTATAATCCTCGTTTATGGAGCCTTGTTTCCAATATGAATCCCTTGTTTGGTGTTCCAGCCATGTCTTTACCATCGGCTCTGAATTGAGACGTTGAATCCAATTTGTTCTCCATTCTTCACCAACCAATCGTGGATCTTGTGGGCGTGGTGCCAGCACTCCCATTGTGGATCCCCACCACGCCATCTCTGAAGCAAAAAGACACCCGCCACGATAATGGATATCATCTGCGTAACGATCATCAGATGACATCAAGCTTATGATTGTCTTCAAAGCAGGATGTTGACGTGCAGCAATTTCCAAACCGTTAAAACCAGCCCACGACTTTCCAAACATAGCAATATTGCCATTGGACCAAGGCTGAGAGACTACCCAATCGAAAGCAGCCAAGGCATCGTCTTGTTCTTGCTTAAGGTATTCATCCTTTAAGACTCCATCAGAAGCACAGGATCCTCTCATGTCAATTCTAAGCGACGCAAGTCCACCGCCAGCAAACCACGGATGTCTTGTTGAATCCCTGAGGATAGTCACATCGGTTCTATAAGGGAGATACTCAATCACACAACCAACAGTGAAAAGAGATTTCAAATACACATCTTCTGGTATCCACATATTAGCTTGTAATCTTGACCCATCAGGCATTGGTATCATCAAGTTCTGAATATTGATAACCTTGTAACGTAATACATCATGATCAAGAACAGCAGTTTCGTACTTCTTATTGGTATTTCTCACATTAAAAGCCATTGTAATGGTAAGAAAGTATTAGAATACCCCCAATCTCATGATCTCGAGAGCGTGTACCTTGAAGGAAGCAGAGATCAGTCAATTTATCTCCCTCAGGGCTTAACACCAACTTTGTAAACCACCACAGCTTCTTATCCAGTCGATCGTAAGCCAGCTCAAAACACAGAATCGGGTATGTGACACCGAACCACCTTTACGACATGAGTGATAAGCTTGAAACAGCCAATTGTGAATAGATTTGTCCCTATCGTTTCTTCCCTCACTGTAGAAGAAAAGTACAGCCATGGAGGGTAAGGTCGGCATTTAGCGGCTAAACCCGATGCAAGCCTGGAAAGTGTGTAGAAACCAGTGTTGTGAGGAGGGAAAATCGCTTCCGGCTTCCGACCTTCATTATGACGTTTTGGCAGCCTGATAGAGAGATAAGCTCTCAACATCGGGTAATTTTGCATTGCTGTTCGAAGGTTGACTGTTTTTTACGATGATGATGACAATACACCATTGGAAGCGTTCTCTTCAAGATGTTTGCGTGGAACTAAGAAGGTTCTCACGTAATGATCTCAACGTCAACTACGTCGCCGGCCTTGATAAGATCAATCAACAGTTCTTTACATTTATCATTAACTGTAACTCGAGGTGGAAAAGCATTGTTGCCCTAAGCGACACACCAAAGGGAGAATAAAGAGAATTGATGCATGTCTGCTCAAAGTAATGATGTTTTGAAATTGGAGGACGAAATGTGGGTCCGGTGGGCTCGGTGGGGAGGCGCACGAGTTCTCTCTCAACTTCCCTTAATCATCCCTTGAGTTTTATCTTTGGATGGAACACTCAGAATAGTGTTATCAGGATTGACATCTTCAAGGCTCGTCGTCAGTTGTACATTCCCGTGTGACTTCTCTCCATAGACCACAACTTGTTCAAGTGCCCTTATAAGATAGACTCAACACCCACTCAATCACAAGATGAAGAACTAGAAAGCCCTGCAAGGATGGCTGACTTTAACTTCGAAAAGCAAAACCTGCCACAAAAGGTTGTACAAGCGGACTCAAGTCTTGATATTGAGACTGGAAGGGTGTCACTACAGAGTGAATATGTCGAAGTTGAAGGCAATGACCCTATTCTCGCTGAAAAGATTCATCTCATCAATGATGCTATTGATGAAATTGGATTTACATGGTACCATGCAAAGTTATTTTGTATTGCAGGCTGTGGTTACTCCATAGATTCGCAAATGGAAATGGTTCAAGTAACTGTTAGAGTGTACGTGGACTACCAAATGCTAGGTTCTGGCTTCCCAATATCAACTGAGATCTTCTATGCAGGGCTCATTGCAGGGTCTATTGTGTTTGGTATGGGATGTGACCTCATTGGTAGAAAACTGGTGTTCAATTCCTCCATTTTACTCACTTCAATTTTTGGATTTTTCACTGGAGGTACAGATAACTACCCAATGTACTGCATCTTTATGTTTCTATCTTCGATGGCTGCAGGAGGTAACTTGGCTACAGATGTCTCAGTCTTTCTAGAGTACCTTCCTTCGAGGTACCAGTGGATGAATAGTTCCATGGCGTTATTCTGGGGCATTGGACAAACCATCGCAGCTTTGATTTCTTGGGCTTTTATCCCAAGTAACTCTTGTGCTGGACCTGAATACTGTCCTTCTAGTATAAACAGAGGATGGAGGTACTGCTGGTACGTCAACTCTGCAATTTGTCTACTCGCTGCTCTAGCTCGTCTCTTTTTTCTGAAGATGGATGAAACACCTAAGCATTTGGTTACCACAGGAAGGGATGCGGAAGCTGTGGAGGTTCTACAAAAGATTGCCAACAAGTACCAGCGGACAATGTCATTAACACTCGAGCAACTGGAGTCATGTGGACCCATAAAACAAGACTATTTTGATCCTTCCAAAGATGGTTATAACATAAAAGCACTGGGGAAAGCAATGCTTACGAACTTGGCGATCTTATTCCAGAGCAAACGTGTTGCAAGATCAACCATTCTGATCATCCTTTCGTGGGCCTTTATTGGTCTGTCTTACTCAACGTTTTACAACTTTATCTACGTCTATATTGCTTCCCATGGAGGTGACACAGCAACCTCCACTTATAACGCTTACCGGAATAACGTTTTAGCCAATTTTACTGGAATTTTCGGTCCCATCCTAGCAGGGTTTACCATTCTGATTAGATTCAAAATGTTCAGCAGGGAGTTTGTTTTTGGAAGAAGAGGAACGATGATTTTCGGTTCACTGGCATCAATGGCTATTCTGTTTGCGTATACTTCTGTGAGAACTGCTGCTGGTGATGCAGGTTTCAGTGCAGCAACGTATTTCTTTACCAATGTTTATTATGCTGCGCTGTACGCATATACACCTGAAGTGTTTCCAACAAAGGCAAGAGGTACAGGTGTGGGTGTATGCTTGATAGCTGGAAGAATATTTGGTGCATTTGCCCCTGTGATCAATTACTTTGGTGCGCAGTCGGGTAGCTCAGTTCCGATTTGGGTCTGTGGTGCTGTTATAGGCTGCCTCTCGATTCTTGCGGCGTTGATGCCATTTGAACCATCACTGAAGAGAACTGTGTGACTTCAAGCCATGTGTAATCTTTCCCCTGAAGCCTCTGATATGTTTATTTCCAGGTGTTTTTAACATGCTTGTAACTGTACACATAGTTGGTGTCCTTATTGCCTCAGGGGTTGTTATCCACAGTTATAGTCTTGGATGTCGTGGACTTCAAAGAGAGAAACTAATGTAGGTCAATAGGTGATCAATCTTGATACTCTTCACAACATATGTTTATGGTAAATACAGCATGTTCTGCTTGGTTCTGATTGTAACACTATCTTTAAGTACTATTCGAGAATACGTCATTCAAAATGACAATTCTCAATTTGATTCTACTGTTATAATGTCGTTTCAATCTCAGCACCAAGTTAAAGTTCCAATGGTTTTCATGAGAAGCTCAAAATATACAGGAGAACCGGCTGCTTGTCCTTCCAGGGGTGTATAGTTCTTCAAGTGATACTGTTTTCACCATGGTCATGAGGTAAGACCAATTCACAAATACTTTCCTCTTTGATCTCTGAACATGGCTTCACAACGGAGCTCTCAATTCTCTGATCTAAACGTGATCAGAGAAGTACACTGCTTCTTGGAGTTCTGAAGTACTTTTTGTTTGCTGTATTCATTGGGCCTTAGGAAAAGAGCACAACATCAAGAAGCTGGGTGGTTTGATCGATACTGAAACGTCTTCATAGAGTTAGACTTTGGTAATTCGTATGATTCCAATATGTTCCGAATGACTGTAGGTTGCTCATTTGTTGAAGAGTGTCGTCAATTTAACAGTATCTTTCAGACAATGGGTTTCATCTCTCTGACCTTTTTACAGTTAAGCAACGTCAAAACCTCATAGAATATCTCACTATAACTGCTCAGAAATGATTAAGATGTAGCCAAATTGTGGTCTACTTATCATTAACTGCTCAAAGTTCAACTGTGATGCTTGAATACAGGTACCTGTTGTTACTCTTGACTTTTGAACTTTGACATAACCAAACCTATCAATCACCAACACATCAGTTTTGCCAGACTTTTCACTTTGAGTCGCACTGCCTAGTTCATTATTTCTGCATCATGTGGTGTATGTCTTCCATGATAGATTCACGCTGATGGTATCTTGACGAGTATAAATCGACCGTTGTTGATACTCATTGGGTCTTTGTAACTGAAGTCATCCAGTCATGACCACATTGCGCTGATCTCACATGCAATGCATAGTCGTTTGTTTATTTGTATACAACAAAGAGTTATACTAACTGTACGTCAAGTCGATTGTCTATGGATCAAAGCTGTTGTCATTGAACGTTGAAGAAGTAGCTATCGTTGTTGTGTTTCTATGGTTTCACATTTGTTGACTCCAAACATCCGAATATCTTAAATTTCCGGGGGTTGAGAAAAAAACATCAACAAAGCAAGGGGACTTATATCAACACACTTTTTCCATTAACAGTTCAAGCATTGAGTCTTTGGAAGATGATGGTTTTAGGATGGAATGCTTCTCTGTATCACATAAGGCTAGTGCAAATGACTTGAATGGCTTTGAGTGATTGTGAAAGTCACAGCAACAGCACTAGAGGAAGAGATGAGAGTTTTAAGGGGTTCAACTACTGTACAAGAATTGGTCTTCCAATGAGAGCTTTGAAGTTTGACACGTGTATCAGAGGATCATATGGACCGCCATTATTACTTTCTCACCCAAGGAACTGGGTAAAAAGCTACCACTCTGTCTCATGCATAAAGTATAGACATGTCTCTTTGGCTAAAGATTCTACAGCTAGGGATTAACACATCTACGTATTTGAATTGGCATTTCCATTGGTTCTCAACAAAAACAAGTTGATGAAGCTTACACAGTAATGGTATGGATATCATTGTCTTTCCACTTTCAGGCTTTTGGTTGTGCTTCTTGGTATTGATCCGTATTTTGTTGTGTGTGAAACGCAAACTTGATATGGGTCGTGAGATAGCGAAGTCTTATACCACACAATTGAGAAGTCAACTACATATAGATGATGCTACATTAGCCAAGCCATGTCTATGTTGTGTGATTGGTGTGGAAGCTTTCTCATCACTCTTCATTGAGCTACACCAACTCCCAATCAAACTTGATGATGTTTACAGTGATTCATGATGATACTTATATTCTCGGCACTCAAGCTCAGGAACATCTGTAAGTTTATCATGGAAGGTTCTCTCAGAGCTGAGCTGTAACATGATCTCTGGCTGAATGTTGTACAATTCTTTGCCAAACAGTTCTGTTCGCTATCTGGAGATAACAGTTGTCACAGGGACTCATGAAGAAGATGATTTCTCAACACAATACAAACCATAGATAGGCCACCCGATACTCAACCACGATTCTATGGAAGATGAGACATACTTTGTGACTTGTCTGAACGCTTGATCATAAGTCACCATTGTGATGTTTCGACTTCAAATTGAAGATGAATGAAATTCCAAAATTCAGAACGACTGATGAATCAAGTTACATCAGCACAACTCAATTGAGTGGTAGCATTTACAGTGATTGTGTGATATTTTTTGGCTCTTCAATTAATAGATGTGACTTCTTTGAATGCTTTATCATGAGTTTAAACTCAATTTTGTCGTCTTCCAAGTGGGCATGGTATCGATTATTGAAACTGATGTGTTGATATTTTTAATCATTCACTTTGATCTTTTGGGTTTCAGCTGCGTACATCTGAGGTATCATATTCTGCACTCATGAGCATGTTTACTTGTTATCTATACGTTTCCACTCTTCCAATTGCACTTCTTTCACCTCTTCAGTTAGTAGAGGGTGCAGCCAAGATTCAACCCCACTGACTCATGCTATTGCACACGCTATTGCACACGCCACCAGCTCATGTGGAGACTATCGAATATGGTACACTCAACATGATTGATTTACACGTTGTCTTAAGAGTTCCAATTAAACTGTGTTGATTTCGAGTTGGCAAAGTGCTTACACTATCAAGACTTTTCACTGACCTGTGGAAGATCTCCCACGCCATCTGTACCATGTATTACTTCTTGAGTCTACAGCACGTCTAATTGGGACTTTCGAAGGCTATCCATAAGAACTGTTTGGTTTCCCCAAGGTATCATCTATTTTACGCAACACATCGTCTTGTCTTCCACATTACATCGTCCTTCTTCCACGTTATGTCGTCCTTCTTCCATATTGGATCGTGTCTTTGTCGAATTGTACTGGTTTCCAATAGTTCCAAGTTACTCATCTGAGCTTGGCAGTACATATGAAGCCTCTAGAATCAGAGGGGGTGTCTCTCTCTTTTAGATTGTTGTTGTCATTGTAGTTTGAGTAGCATCAATTGAACTTTGTCGTTACTCAACCAGTCCTCCATACTTACAACTATCGCCTTAGCATCTCATTGAGCTGACGCCACAAGCCATACATAGTCACAAACTCAGTACTACAAGATACATATGAAACGAAAATGTACTTCTGGTCCATTCCCAATCCTTTAAAGGTGTGGGAGTTACTGCTCATTACTAAACTAGTTATCGTCGATATGCTATTGTTTCAAGCTCGCGCCATCTCCAAAGAATATTTTTGCTTTCCAGGGAGATGGGCAGCCACAAACCGGGAAACAACTTAAACCCAGTGGTAAGTTCTTGAGCGTAGCTATCCAGTAGTGGTGGTTATAGCTCGAAAGCTCTGCTAGTTGCCGAGTTATGGGTTTATATAGTATATATTAATTTAGGGTATCTCCGAGAATAGGTGAGTCTTTTTCGGATTATAAAATTTGGGTAGATGTTAACAGTAAAATAATGGAAAGAAAAACCCAAATGGTGGAAATACCAGGGTATTTTGGTCTCATTGGAAAGGCGTGAATTTTGTGAGCGTGGGACAGTGATTTTGGT